CAAAACACAGGCTTTCGTATGAACCGTTCAATTTAGCGCCCCCGCTAAATTGATAGTATCAATAATACGCTGGTTTTTGGCCCTGGACTGCCTCTCTGCTAAAAGCAAGACTAAACTCAAGCTCTGCTACGCGAGCTTTCGTGATTGAGCATGAACCTCATTATGCAAGAGGAGAGCATTGTTACTAGTAGGGAACCGAGGAGGCCTTGGAAACAATTTTCTGAATCCGCCGTGTAATATGTCATGCTTTCACGGCCGCGCTGTCCTTTAAATCTATTTCGGAGAGAGTACCAGGGCAGATGGCCACCTTTACAGCTCGGCTGGCCTGCGCTGGCCCCTACGCCATGTCCACCGTAAAGTCCCCCAAGCTCGAACATGTGACCCTGCATTGGTGTACGAGAACCATGAAGAAGCACTGGAAAGTGCTGTCAGAGGGCTCTCCAGGCTTCTCGCAGCAATGCTTACCTTGGGCCAACAGCTCCAGGCTCATACACTGGATAACGCTAGGACAGGTGAATATGTTCATTGAACTTGCATGTCCATCACCAAAGGACAAGCCCCTAATTGCTACAGAATGCCCTCAGAACACAGAAGACACAGAACGCCACTTTCCGAAGCCAGGGACCGCAGGCAGGACTCTGGCCCATGGCTTCGAACTGATCGGATCGTCGGCTCAGCGCTAAGCCACATATAATTGCGAACACAGACCTGGCCTGCTCCAGTGTGTGAGTCGGTGTGCGATTCTTTTGTGTGTGTGTGTGTATGTATGTATGGGTGTGTGTGCGGGGGTGGAGTGGGTGGGTGGGTGGGGGAGTGGCGCGCATAGTGTGCAGCAGGCCATTGATCAAATATGCGAGTTCGAGATGCTATACCCTAACCCCGACGGGACCAGTAGACCAGTATGAGGGCTGATCTAACTGCCGTCGCCGGTTTGCTCGACCCGCTTCTCAATTGTCATTAGATGCCCCGTTCTGAAACCAGGCTGGGGCAATGCCCAGAGCTGACCCCACGGCCCACGGCTTGGGAAGCTCGAGCCGCTGCGAGGCAGAGCAGAGCATGGCAGAACTGAAGCGACACGGTGCAGAAGTGTCAACACCTCCCTGAATCTCCCGGATATCGGCATCTCAAGAATCTCAGGGCCACCAGCCGTAAGCGCAGCCGAGGCGTCTCTTCTGCCCGCTCCCGGCTCCGGCGCTTCGGCGCCGCGGCGCCGAGACGGCGCCAGGCCTCCCACGCGTGGCAGACCAGGCCGAGGCGGAGCTCCTGAGGCGAAAAGGAAAGATAGGAAGAGGAGAGAAGAGTCAGAAGAGAGAAGAGCATGGAAGAGCAACGCAAAGTTAAAGACCCAGGCTCCGCACCTTGCCAATCTGGTCGGCTCGGGCTCGGGAACCCGGAAGACGGCTCTTGGCCCTGCGGAGGGTCGTGGCCTTGGTCGAAAGACTGCCTCAGACTCCTCAAACACCCAACGGATTGCTGCTCTTGCGAATCCAAATCTAAGAGGCCGGAAGCACGTCCCTTCTGAGCCATGCGCAGCCTGTTGCCAGGAGTCCAGGAGCAAAACCTGGATTCGGCACTATCTTCGGAGATAAGCAACCAGTCTTACGTCTTTTGGAATGCTTTCATCACAAGAGTTCGCAGATTGAGCTCGGGCCTCAATGGCAACACCCACACAGAGAGCAGAAAGGATCGAAGCAAAAGAGAAATGGGAAACTCCTGGGAAGAGATTGCTACACCAGCTCCGACACTGCAAAAGGCTGCCTATTACACCTGTGGATTCAGAAGCTCCTCGCATGGCCCGACAAAGGAGCCCCAAGTCGTGGTACAGTCAAATGCCCAAGCAGTGCAGCGGCATAGGCACCTGGAAGCTTCGGAGCTCCGCGGAGTCCACGCCACGCTGGAGGGCGCGGCAAAGCCAGGTGTCCAGCACCTCCAGAGATCTCAATAAGCTGTACTACAACCGCACTCATGCACTCCTGCACTACGGTACTACTACTGTGCCTGTGTACTGCTCTACCGCGACGGCGGGTCTGGGGAGCACACGGGAATCCCACTATTTGCCGGAAAATGTTTGGGCGGGGCACAGAAGCATGTGCCAAAAGTGTGCGCTCAGAATTAGCCCGCGGAGGCCTCCCCGACAGCACTGCGGCGCCGGGCCCGCGCCCCGCGCGCTGCGACGGCGCGGCTCGCGGCGAGGTGCCAGGCCGCAACGGCTCTCGCCACAAAGAAACTGCGGCAAACGAGGCGCAGAGGAGAGGATTCGCAGATATCCGTTTACGTTCTATAATGGAGTGCAGCACAGTCGAATCTGTTCTCTGTAGTAACATCGTTCTGTACCGCATGATGCGCTTTCAACTAGGTTGGACTGCGCCTGCTACTGCTACAGTTACAGTACATGCAGTCTGTGTTGCACCTGACTATACTACAGTGTGCGATGTTGTATTTATTTTGCAGCGGTTTATTGCGCTGCATTGGGCTAGCTTCTCTGGCCGTGGTGGGTGGGGATCCTTGAGGGATGGCAGGGAGGAGGAGACAGCGAACTCGCCAACTACTATCCCACTCCGAGCGGCCTGCTTCTTTCGGCTTGCTGCCTTCAGATGCATGCCAGGTTCGGGAGACGCGGATACACAGACTGTGTGATCTAGCCGCGTCTCGGATGAAACCACCGAAGCAGCTGGCCTCGTGTGCAAAGCCTCGCCGGCAGTATGTGCGGCGCTACGGCGTTTGGCTGTCCTCTCACGGGTGCCCGTGTACTGGTGTCCATTCAAAGTGCCAAAGCTTCAATGCGGCTTGTGTCGAAACAAGTGGCTTGCAGGACAAGTCCTCGAAGTGTGGTGCCATGCCAGTACAACTGATCCGAGCAAAGCCTGGCTGGTCTGTGGACCCCTATGTTTTGTTAATTGTTCCGGTCCTGTGCGGCTCGCAGTCCCTGAGGTAGGTCACATTTTCATACCCGAAACACCCTCGTTGTCACGCGTCACCTCGTTCACACCCGAAGTGCGCCGTCACGGTTTTCACATGGATGGTTTGTTTTACTGTGCTATAGTTCGCATTCTTGTACCGGCATGGAATGCATACACATGCATGCATGTACGCACACATACACATACACAAAAACGTGTGCACATGCATACATCCATGCATGCATGTACGCACACTTGAACATACACAACAACATGTGCACATGCATGCATCCATGCATACCTTCGTCATGCATGCATGCATGCATGCATGCACAAGATCTCATGCACACATACACATACACAAACAACATGTGCACAGAGAGACAGATGTCCATCGCAGGGCGTGGAAAGTTTGGGATCTCAGTTCAAGATTCAAGGTTTCTCTGGGGGTCGGCGGCAAAATGGCGGCAGTCTTTACATCGGGCAGCGCTCGGTCCCCGAGCGCTTGCACCCTGCTGGTCCGAGCCTCAGGCGACCTGTAGCCTTGCTAGCTTCGCTTTAGCAAAAGGCGCGACCGCCCGTGCCGCCGACCCGCCCTAATTTCGAGTTTTTTTGCGTAATTTTGGGGTCGCCAAGGGTAGCCCCCAAAGGGCGCGCATCATGAGCATCAGCGGCCCCAGTCCGGGACTCGGGGCGCGCATCGTCAGCATCAGCGGGGCCCTGGGGACACGGATGAGTGGTGGAGAAGGTCCCCCCCCCCCTTCCTTGTCAAATGTTGTTCTAGATCGTTCGCGGTTTGAAGCTCAAGTTTATATCGGTTTGTCCGGGCTTCTACCTGCGCTGCCCGCCGGTGGGCGCAGCCCCTAGAATATCCTACAAACCCTCAACCGATGCGCACCCCGGGCGCGCGTAACCGTAAACGCCAATTAAACCAACCCTAAACCCGAAAACCCGAAGCGCAAACCTGCAAGGCCCTAAACCCTAAATCGAGGTGTGCTCCGGGCGCACCCCTAAACCTACCCTACAACCTGATCCCTAAACCCAAGCCCCTAAAACCCTAAACCCTGAACCGATGAGCACGACGGGCGCGCGCGCGGTGAACCCTAAACCCTGAACCCCTAAACCCGTAAACCCTACAGCCTGCAACCCTCGCCGATGCGTGCACCGGGCGCGCCCCTAAACGCAACCCTTGTAAACCCGCAAACCTTGAACCGATGGATGCGCCGAGTGTACGTAACCCTCAACCCTGAAACCTGAAACCCTCAAAGCCCTGAACCCAAAACCCGAACCCCTAAACCCTAAATCGTGCGCACCGGGCACGCCCCTAAACTCTACCCTATGACCAAGATTCCCAAGGACCCTCTCCAGACCCAGAAACATCGAAAAGCAAAATCACGAAGACGACCAAGATTACCAAGATTACACGTAATTTCCCCCCTTAGCGAGCAAGATTGCCAAGGCGACGGTCATCTTGCTGGCCACCGACACTATACCGATGACGAAGCGAGGTAGCGTTACAAGGTAGTATCAGTTGTCGTTGTAGTCGTAGTAGTCGTAGTAGCAGTCGCCGTCGTAGCCGCACTAGTAGTAGTAGTAGTAGTAGTAGTAGTAGTAGCAGCAGCAGCAGCAGCAGGAGCAGGAGGAGTAGTAGTAGTAGTAGTAGTAGTAGTAATAGTAGTAGTAGTAGAAGAAGAAGAAGAAGCCGTCGTTGTCGTTGTCGTACAGTGGTGGAATAAACTGCAAAAACTGGCTCAAGGCAAAAACCTCACGGACTAAAGTGTCCTGCTCAATTGCGCCGAGACATGACCCGGACACCCGGCATTCCGGCCTCGTCTGAACTTCGGAATGCTTGCCTGCCAAGTCACTTAATGACTCTTACTGTTACCCCTTCGTGGCCTAGGCTCTCCACCGACTCTTGCCTCATCACTTGCAGTTTCTGCTCTTGGGCTTCCCGCATCCGATCTTCGGCCTGGTCCGCTTCTGGAGGTCAACAGCTACAAAGTACAAAGAGCGACTGAAAAGGCAGGCGGCAACAAAACCTCGAACCTTGCTCGACAACTGGTGCCTCGCGTTCCATGGCGGCCTTGACAGCCTCCTCAGCCATGGGAATGCTGGAGCATTCAACGGCACGAACCGGCTCCAGACAGCTCCCAACTCTGAGACGCTCACACGATGGCTGTCATGGACAGCCTGTCGCCACTCGCTAAAGCAGCGGGACCTTCGCGGCTTCCGAACATGATGTGATGCCCAAGGATGCTCAGCCGTCCATGCCTTATCATCTCGTCATCGAGCCTCGAGTCGTCATTGTCAGCACTCTTGAGAAATCCACGTTCTTGGGGCCAGCGCATGAGCTGGCCAAACGCAGAAGTCATGGCCTTCTCCTGCCAAGTAAAGCGAGCAAGCAACACACGCCCAAGAACTCGGTTCAGGCTTCACAAGGTCTCGGCTGGAGGGTTAAGAGGGTGTCACACACATCTTAACTCTTGCCGAGCAAGCTATTGAAGCTGACTGATTAGAAGCCAACGAAACGGAGGCTGCGTCCTTCCGGGCTTTCTCAACCTTGCAGTGAAGCAAACTGCGAAGCCACGCCTTGGCGGGGAAGAGCAAAGCAGGAGCACAAACCCCGTTTTAAGTTCGGGCTGGCGGACCAAGAAGTGGAATAGCAGCAGGGTCTCCCCTTCGGCATCCACACGTCGCCTCTGACAGACGGAGGTGAGTGAGGTCGTCTAGATCACAATCAGCACATG